AAAGCCATAGTGGGCCTTAATTGTCGATTGCTGCTAACATCAGCATTGCAAACAATTAATCGGATCGAAGCAAAAAATACACCATCATGGCTCTCTGGAAGACAAACTCCTCTTTAACATCGGGAAGCCATTCTCGTCTATTTACCGATAATGGGAATGAGGATGGTTTCCTGGCAAAGCATTGAGGCTACAACAGAGGTTACACGCAATCCATTTGTAAACATGTGTTTCAAGACCCCACGATCCGATGTTTACTCTGATATTACTTGAATATATCGCAAATAACCTCAATCAATCCATTCTGTGAAAAGGGAATGAATTTATCGGGAAATTGAATAGCCTTAGGTAAAACGGTTACTAATTTTCGTGCGTCATTCTATTGATTAGACACAAGTTCTATTGTTTCCTCGATATTGCGCTTGTATCTATCGATTAAAAATCCTTAGATGCGTGTATCGATTTGAGTCGTGAGCCTATATGTATATGAAAGGTTTATTAGTGACACCAATCTCTAAATATTTGGTACTACACTGAAAAGAAAGGCACTGCCACTTGCCATACAGACTTCTCAAGCAAATCTAAGGTTTGGCTTCGAACCATAGTTAAAGTTTTCATCTGTATCATTATCTCTTCATAAAAATGTTATTGTGTTCGTGATTTTAGCAATGAAGCTTGTCTCAAAAAGTATAGAATGATATATCAGTGTAGACTAAAAGAGGGTTACAATAGGTAGTGCTTTGAAATTGACATTCTTTTATATATATATATAAAGTATATATATATAGAAGTAAACCATCAAAGGAAAACCAGACGTTGAATTATGATATTGATATTTTAATGCAGATTGATAAATACGTTTTGTTGCGTAGAACATGGGAGGGTTATTGATTTTCATTAAATTTATATATATACTTGTTTTATAACTCTAAAATTATGACAGAAAATTTTATTTTTCTTTTATCATTGAAAACTGGTAGATTAGAAATAGAATTTTAGACTGAACAGCGACGTAATTAAAAGCTACGAACTATAATACATCACTCATAGAAAGTTACCCTGATGATCAACATAATATAATACAGCCGTTATTGAAATCACAAATGATTTGAGGTGGACCATTTGCCATTGGACCAAAAAGAAAACAAGGATTCTGTTATTTTAGTTTCTAAGTCAATTTTAAAGTAAAAATAAAGTAATAGTTGTTTTTTTTGTTTTTTTTATCTTGGTTGATGATAGAAACATACGAATATTTTTAAAAAATATACTATACGTCCTCAAAATAAAACCGTTCTATATACGTTCTGATGAAAATCTGTAATGATACGATCTAATAATTATAAATATCAAAACCACTGAAATCCATCAAACCGTTATTAAAAACTACAGACAATTTCTAACACGCAGAATATATCACAAAATATAATTAAAGTACATAAGAATAAAATATAGCTCATTATAAAGTTAACAAAAGGGTTTAATGATAAGTTAACGTTCATGAAACTAACACTCAGAATTACCCGTCAAACGATTTCTAATGAAGGCGTGTCATTTCTCAAAATATATAATTGTATTCTGAAAAGTTCTACTTTTAGTTATATAATATATAAAGTGTGTTCAGTGGCAAAACGATTGGTGAAATTTAAAACTGTTGTGGATTATTCAGAATACATTGAATGTTAAGAAGTGATTCTTTCTAACTTTCTCTTCACCTATATTATCTTAAATTGTGGAATAATGAAGAGATTCATGATAAAAACCATTTGTGCTGTATTACCCCTTTAAAAATGTTTTGAGATCTCATGAATACATATGCTTGAGGTTTCATGTAATAAAATTCTTCTGTCTTATTTTAATCCTAGGGAAATTTGGGATGCTTGAGCAAAGGGGAGGAACTTGAACCATCTGAAATATCTTTATCTATTTAACGAACTGTTTTAATAAACATCAATACCTAATAGGAATATTTTTGTCGAATAACAGGAATGTGTGTGTGATTTACATACTTACACCAACACACACACACACACACACATTGAAATGCTTTCAGATGTAATTTTTTATATTAATGACAATATGTTTTGATGAGCTAAAACATGGGCAAAACAATTCACTTATTGTTTTGCTTATTCCTTGAAGTTATGGTATTTACACAATGAGGAATTATATACTTTCCTGATGTATTTATTTTCTAAGTATTATTTTAACTTAACCTTTTTTTGCTTTATTTCATGTGTTATTTTTTGGCAATGTCGAAATAGATAAAATATAATAATATTATCAGCTTTGTGTTTCATAAATAATTTTTCCAATGTTTTATTATTCGTAGAAAAAAAATTACAAGTTCAATTAATATTTTAAATAAGCCTCATCTACCTGTAAGATATACGATTATCAAGGCCGATGCATTTGCATCCTCGCCAGAAAACTCAAAGCAAAATTAAGACGTGCAGAATGATTGGTTTCAATTGTTGTGCGATATGCTATTTGTGTAAGGATAAAACTAGAAAATTTTGCACTAAATAAGGTGCAGTTCACCGAGAAATGCCTAATTTCCCCGCTATAGTGCGTTCACTAATAATAGATTTGAAAGACTTAGTGATGCCTGAATTGTTGTGATTGTAAATTCCTTCCTCCATCGAAAATCCCAGAATACTGTTTGAACACTGTCATTATTCAGATAAAAATGCTTTATTATTAATACGCTATTTTTCTTGTCCATTGGCATGATTACTAAGGGCTAATAATTCATCCTTGAACTTAAAGTCAACTGGCATCTAGTTTGCGAAGCAACCTTTTCACCAGTATCTCGCAGACTGCGATGCTAAGCAGCAAAGGATGAAGATTTTGTCATTCTGCGATGTTCATGCTTTGCTACGAGTATTAGTTAAAAGTCGAGAGTCCGGAGGTGGCGATGAGGGTAAGATGCGAGGTTAGCGTGACATAGAAAAATCTTCAAATGGTTCGTTTTTTAAGTTTATTTTTTGACATTAGAAGAGAGTAATAATGGGAAAGAATGAAAGAGTATTTGGCTATGTATTGGATGCGAGATTTAAAGTATTTAATATTAATGGGGCTTTACGGATATCAACATCTCTCATGTATTTTGAGGCTTCGATAATCATTCTTATCGTGGTATTTTGGATAGTATCTGTATACAATTTGAATATTAGAATTAGCAGCATATCCACAGACTGGAGAAGTCCAGGCTATGATGGGACCCATAATGGCTGCATACAGAAGCATATTGTATTCTGTACTTAAATTAAAAATCTGAAAGTTCAGTTAGAAGATAAAGTTTGAACATTAATTTCCGAAATAATGTTTCTTTCTACGTGTAAATATCATTTTAAAGTTTAACTAGTATTTTTATTCATTTGCCTATGGTTTTTACCACTCAATGTCCTCAATTGGCAAAAATTCTAGCTATTACTTTTTTCAGTCTAAATTTCACCCCCTTGATTTACATCACATATTTGAAATTTCATACGGACACATTAAATATAACCAGATGAAAGGGCCTCTGAGTACCATTAGTTGAATTATATACCACTCTGTATTTTCTATCATGGTAAAAAAATCTGTATACATTAATTTTAACTCCATAAATAAGAGGTGATTTTCCAAAAAAATAGTGCATTCTGGATTCTTTCTTTTTCAATTCCTATTATTAGTTCACAACTCTCCCTATATGTATATATATAAAATCCATAAAATATATACATAGATAGCTATAGAACCTAAGTATAACTATTCAAGATAGGAAATATTAGGCACAGTAGCACAATAACAAACTCCTGTTCTTAGGAACCAGGAATGCAGGTTTAAACAAGTTTTAGGGCTAGCCAACCTTCACCTGTAATTTGCCTAAACCACTGAGCCAAAGGGAAATGAAAGAATAATATTAAAAGAAATTTAAATATTACAAATAAAATCACTATACTAATAAAATATAACGATAAAATTATAGCCTAATAGTATTCACAGTATAGATTTAAATTCGACGCAAAAGGTATATAGTAAGACTTACTTCGTGAGTGTATCAACTGGTTATGTTTCCCGCCAAATACAGCAGAGGAAAATAGTACCGCATAAAGTTAAAAATTATGATAGAATGATATAAAGTCTCTCTCTACATATATATGTGTGTACGTTTAAAAAAATCATAAATATATATTGATATAAATATTTGAGGAAAATAAAAGAATACAAGAAACTTAAATAATATTATTAATTTATTAAACATGTGGTGCCATCTATTGAATAATTGTATAATTAGTTAAAAATACTAGTATTAAAACATAATGTCAATAATAGTTATTAATACAAATTGTATATCATTGAGAACTATTAGAAATATAATTGTAAAGAAAGTTAGCAGTATATCCATGTTCAATACATTGTTTAATAAAGTTATTAAGATTTAAATAAATATTAGCTTTATCACTAACTAATACATTATTACGATAAATATAGTTAAATATAATATTTCTATATATATAGATATAGATAAATTTGAGTTCCAGTAAGAATGTTAAAATTAAAGGCATCTCTTTTATCATAGATATTACTATGTAATTTCAAATCCTTAATATACAATGTTACATCTAAGTAATTAGTTCTAATTGGATTATTATTTATTTTAACTAAGTTTAAGTAATCCGGATAAAAATTAATATTGGGATTGAAATTATCATTTTTACCAAAAATTATTAAATTATCAATATATCTAAAAATGTAATAGTCATTATTAATAATATAATTATATCCATGAATGTATATATATATATATATATATCTTGTTCAAATTTTCAATCGTTAGTAAAATACTTTTTGTTTATCCACTCAAGTACAAATACATTTTTTTAAAACTTGTAGTGGATGACTCTTGGTGTTAATACAGATTTTTCAAATATGAATTAATTAAATTAAATTAAAGAATGAAAAGAAACAAACAAAAATAATAGTTCAACACCATATATAAAAAGAATTTTGCGCCTTGTGTCTCTGTAGTGCAATGGATAACGCATTGGACTTCCGATCCAAAGGCCGTGGGTTCGAATCCCACCTAGGATGACTTAATTTCTGAGAATGTGATTTCTTTTTGCTATACTGTTTTATTGGAATAATTAAATTTAATTAATTAATAAATAGTAACAAACACAAATAATAATCCAATACCCTATATAGAAAGGAAAATGGAAAATTGCGAGGGAAATCGCTTTCTATTTTGTCACTTAATATTGTGATTTTGTCCTATGTATATACATATTTATATTATAATAGTAATTATTTAATAAAAAGTGATTAAAATTTTTTCTTTGTTGACCTAAGTAGGAATCAACAATATAATTTTTTTTCATATTACTTCTTGTGCACTTAAAGTCACACGTTTAAGGAACATAGATCAGAAACTTTTATATATTTGTTAATGGAAGTATGTGCTAAAACACCTCTTACACTAGGTTTTTTTTATATTGAGAACATTTGTGTCCACAAAGTATCACACGGGGGCTTACAGAAGTAAGCACGAAGCACACATTACAAAGAAAAGAAGGAATTTAAAGACATGAAGGATTACAATACAAACATCCATGCCTTCTCCAGGATTCGAACCCAGGCCCTACGGCACCGCAGTCAGCGTCACTATACCGGATGGGTAGCCACACTAGGTTTGAAAACAAATTTTAGAGGAGTCAAAAATACTTCAGGGAATATAATATTTTAAATCATATAAAATATTGATAGTTAGAATGAAATACTTAACACGCTCATTTTTCAAAATGATTGTATTACTCTACCAGAAATATTACACATTCAGATTTTGTAGAGATGTTACACACATATGTAAATACCCATAAACAAGTATTAAATAAAAAAAAAGTCAATTCTTACTTAGGTTAACAAAGAAAAATTTTATTTTAATTAAATTTAATTAACGAATTAATATTTGATAAAACTGTATCAACATTAAATATCATCCTTTACAAGTTTAAAAAACATATATTTGTGTGTGTGTGTGTGACGGCAAGAAAAAGATTCATTAGCAAAACTTACTAGCGCCATGTGTGTGTTGGTGCTAGTTCTAACTTCATCAGTGAGTGAGTGAGTGAATATTAATGTCGCACTTTTCAACTACCATTTTCAACTATTTTGAACCATGGTCAAGAGACGAGAACGACACTTGAGCTGACACCCCCTCTCCTAACTACCACACCACACTAATGGGAGGACGTTTCAGCTCTCGACAGATTTAACGTGCATCGCTCCCCTACAGGGCGGGTCTTCAGTGGTTCTAGCCTCCAACTCTTGACACGACACTATTACCTTGACCACTAGGCTACCGCCGTCTCAAACTTCATCAAAAATAACGCAGAATAAGTTAAAAATTAAGAAATAAAATTTAATTAATGAATTTATATTTGAAAACACTGTATTAACATCAGGTATCAGCCACTATAACCCACTCGAAGAAATTATTTCTATAATCTTCAAAAAACTATATTTTTTTGTGAGAGTAGCGTGTGCATTTTCAGCGTACGTATCTTTTGAAATTGTTACACTGATGAGTTGAACTGAACAAACTACGATTTTAAAAACCTGTTTTATTTTTGAGATAGTCATATTGGATATATTTAAGCCCCCCCCCCCGCCGAATAAATAAATAACAATAAGAATAAATTTATCAGCATCCAACTTCTTTTGGCATATCCTCGAGTATTAAGAATTTGCTTTTGTTCCCTTTTCAACCAGTAAACAGGGCAGTTCTTATCATTCCGAGAAATGCACACACACAAGTCAAGTTAAATTATTTTTTTAAAAAATTCACAACTCCCACTGAAAATTGAAAATTTTATATTTGTGTCTTAAAATTTTCAAGTGTACACAAAAACAAGTAATATGAAAATATTATTTTAAAGTCAATTCCTACTTCGTTAGAAAAACGTAGTGGTGCCATCTGTTGTAGCTAGTTGTAACTTCGTCCGAAATAACGTGGAATAAATTTAAAATTAAAAAATAAAATTTAAGTAATGAATTAATATTTGAAAAAACTGTATTAACATCAAATGTCATTCACTACAAGATTAAAAAAAATGTATTTGAACTTGAATGAACGATTGAAAATTTGAACAAGATATATATATAAATATATATAGGGAGAGAGTGAACTGTAATAGTAGGAATTGAATAATGCTAGAACTCAGTATGCTGAAAAAAATTGTTTGATACTCTATTATACTAAGCGAATACTTTGTAATTTTATTTAAATTTAACAATTATTTAATTACTTTGAAAAGTTCTTACAAATAAGAATAATCGTAAGATTTTATAGGCGATAAAATATGTGTATGCACTCTATTTACTAAATGTTAACTTCTCTCTATCGATCCCTTTTCTTTCTGAATATTTTCTATCATTTTAATTTCTTTGATATTCCTAGTTCGGAATAATTTCCATTCGAGTTCCATCGCATAATGTTACGCTTTTCCTTAGTAATAATGCTACGAAGATAATAAAGTGCCTTTTTTTGACGAAACGGACAAAATATTTACATAAACCTTTACTTTTCTGAAATACGTATAATATTTGTATAACGCATGAATTAGCAGTTTTTTCGATCGGTTCGTAATCACCATGCTGTGAATGGCTAAACATGAAGCAAAAAATTTAAATTGGTAAAACAGGTAGATGCCGAATTCAACCGACCGAGGGGAGGATAGTAGGCAGCATGAAAACGGCAAATCACCATAGAACATGGGGTCGCAAACCACGTTGAGTTGGTGAAAATCGCAATAATAGTAGCCGTCGGGAGGTGATGATACAGACATGGGAAGTTGTGAGAAGCTAGCACCTCTCTCTCGGGCACCTAGATGTGTGGGAGGTAGGGAAGAAACACTCGACATGATCCAATTAATCTATTTATTTATCACACACAAAGAATAGACACAATTTCAACTAATAATAGTAAGAGAATGTCTCAATGCTAACCAAGAAAGTGGAATAACGACGGTAAAACGCGAACGATTAGGAGACTATCAAACTTGATCCTTACCCTAATAAAGGACGTAATCTATCATCCTATAAAATATAATATCAATTCAATCATAGTGAACAATCGTCAAAGTTTCCTCCTAATAAGTCTCATATCACAATAATTCTAATATTATACCTTCAGTAGCAATGTCACCTGACTCGAGTATATCGTCTCTCCTACTCTCTCTCTTCAATCTAGAAAACCTCGCCTATATATAGTAAGTTAATTTAAATATCACGATTCTCTTCTTCCGAAGGGTTGATTTTGAATATCGTGAACTGATAGCCCAAAGATTTCCCAAGAGGATTAATTGAAAGAAAGCGTATAGATCCGTCACAAAAAGACCAAATGAATGCCGAGATTTGGAGCACCGTGGTAGGGGTGAAAAACCCCGCACATATGCAAATTTACCACTTCTTCTGGAGTCGATGTAGAAAGTACCGGCCATGAACGATAGTACACCAGCCCATGCGATTTCGATTGCGTTGTGTAACCACCTCCCTGCTACATATCAAGGGAGATGGATTGGACCCGGTGGACCTATTGCTTGGACTCCACGCTCCCAGGACCTCACTCCCTTAGATTTCTTCTTCAGGGGGCCACTTGAATTCGTTTTTGAGACACCGATGGCCACAGTGGTGGCTCTCCCGCACGAATAGTCGTCGCTTCAGCTGATATCGCCAACACACCGGATATGTTTGAACGCGTCCGACGTTGTCAGCTGTGCTATGACCTACTCCGTCGCAAGTTGGAACAATTCCTGTGACAATCACTTGTAGTTGCATTTCTGACGCTGAGTTGAGATGCATTGTTCGTATTGGGAAAAGTATTTCTTACCTCTTATTGACCCTTTTCATTCCACTCGACATCACATTATTCCTAACGTTTTTTGTGCCCACTCAATGGGGTTTGCGACCCCCTGTTCTATGCTAATTTGTCCTCTTCATGCACTCTGAATTTGTATATTAATCAAAGTTTCTATTTTATGCAGGATATTATGGTTTCTTACAATTCTCATAAAGTTACAGTGAATCAGTTAATATGAGGTAAATTTATATAAATGATTAAAAATGAATTAATTAGAAATTGGATAGATTTATATTAAGGTTACTAAAAAAAAAAAAAAAATGAAATGCATAAAAACACATTAAAGATATTTTTTTCCTACCATTTTAGCACCAAAAAAGAAAAATTATAAATATTTAAAGAATATTATGTATACAATATAAAGTGTCACTGAGATCTTTTAGTAGCTTATAATTCTTAAAGTAGTGATACATTTTTTTTTTGTTGATAGTTCGGAAAACTCCTGCGCTATTTGAAGGCTGCGGTAGCCCAGTGGTCAAGGTATCGGATCATGGCAGGCATGTCTCATGAGTTCAAGCTTAGTACCAATAAAGACCCGCCGTGTGGGACAGCGATGCACGTTAAATCTGTCGAGAGCTGAAACGGATTCCCGTTGGTGTGATGTGGTAGCTAGGAGAGGGGGTGCCAGCTCAGGTTTACATCCACGTCACTTGACCATAGTTCGAAATGACGTGGTCCGTCGCCAAAAGCCCTCGTGTAGCAGAACAGTGCGACGTTAATATTCACTCACTCCCCCTGCGCTATTTGCCTTTGCCTTTTGAAAGACTGGTATTCTCGATAATTATGCTTCATTGCATTATGTAAATTTTATTTTTACATTGCTCATTTTTCCTTTTGGACTATTTAAGTAATGTTTGTTTGTCTAGCTATGAAAAGTTTGTCTAAACTAAACGTGAAAGCTTTGTTTTCTGCAAATAGGAGTGTTTGTGTTATTATGTTTTAAGAAAATAACTTTTTATTTGTTGCTTTCCATTATGCTTTATAGTTATTTAACAGTTTTGAGAAGTCCCATTTCTGCTCAGTGGTTATTATTAAAACAATCTTATGTTGGTTTCATAAAATTAATAGTTATAATGCTTTTTCTTCCTTTTTTTATTATAATATTAATTGAACTTTTAATTATTTTCTAAAATTGCTGTAACAGGTAAAACAATCAGTTTTGTCATTGTTCATA